GGGTGTGCATTCTTTCAAACCGTAGTCTTATTATTTAGACATTATAATTATACAAAGATGTTATCACACGCTCACACACTAATTGTTAGACCAACAGCAAGTACGTTTTCAAATTATGAACGAAATTGCTAACGTATTTTCCAGTAGGTACCATATAAATATAGAAATCATATATTTTCAGGGTAATTTGGTAAAATCAAGTTTCTCATACACAGTTTTTTTTACTGGGCACCCTTAAACAACCCTTAAACAGGGCAGTTCTTGTTTAAAGTTTCAGTCGGGGGATTCGAGACAACAAAAAGCTGCCCATTAGCGGCTTAGTAACCAGAGAAACCCAAAACTAGGTGAATGAGAACATTTTCTCAAGGACATTTTGGCCGCGGGATGTACGGAGGGGAGGGGAGTGGTAGAAAGAGGGATACTAACAATGCAGCAAGGTGAGTAATTGACAGAAATGATGAAAGGTTTGATTAGTTTGAAATGTGATATTTGAGATTTCCTGAAGTTGTGTGCGTGCATCGTATATCGAAATAATTTTAAAAATTAATTTTAAATGAGAATCTGTTATTCTCAATTCTCAGTTTTTCTTTTTCCGTTTCTTGCTTTTTCCAACATTTGGCTGGTTAGATTCTGCGACATTTTCTGTTGGAGTTCCTTCGTCTTCTTTGTGTACATTTGTTTCTCGTTTTCTTTTAGAGTTTTTATTTTTTGGTTCCTTTAGGCTAGCAGTCCTGAAAGAAATGAACATAAAAAATAAACCCGTAGTCATGTTTTGTAAGGATGTTATAGGATGAACAACAATTTTCTTGGATATGTGTAATTGTTCTCCCGGATCTTGTAATCTTGTGATCTTACTGTTTTAAAGGGAGGGTCTCATGGCTCGGCGCATATCTCCAAATCAAAATAGATATAGTTTAGTAATCGCATGCTATAGTAAGTCGTAGCAGAATTTCGGATGACAAAATTCTCGGAAGATTTCAACGGATTTTACCGACGCTGCCGACCGTTGAATTTAGTTTTGACCCGTACGATTTATTCTGCGGTTGATGATTTTACGGCTATTTGCTCGCGAAATTAGGTAACTTGCTTACGACTGATTCATAAACAATGAAATACTGGGTCTATGTCAAAAAGCGTGCACGGGCGAATAAATAATACAGACATGCGCCGAACAATGACACCCTCCCTTGAAAACATTTTTATTGCAGTTAGGTATTATTTTTTTATATTGTTATCTGTTAGTGTTATATTCTTCTATTTAGGGATTAGGAATTTTAACGAAAGTTTGTAAATATATCAGTTATACCTAATCATAGCTTCCATTATTGAAATTGTAACTTATTTTAAGTAGGTGTCTCCCCATGAGCTTCCCAGACAAAAATCAATAAAGCTATTATTATTAAAATTATTATTATGCATTGCCAATTAAGGTAAAGCTTTCAAAGCCTCATAGTTGATATGCCTCGGAGCTCATAGAGTGTTACTGTAACTAGTAACTGCTGTTGCATCAAGTTTGTTCAGTTCTAGACGTGCAGTTCTAAGGATAAAGATGATCGATAGGCCTGTATTGCACTTAAGTTTCGTATTGTGTTATTGTGTGATCCTGCTAAACGAAAACAAGACGAAAGTCATCATTATTCTTTGAAGAACAATGACTAAGCAATGTACTCGCATTTTAACACTTTTTCGCAAACAATTATTTGGCCGAAAATGTTTGCAACCTGACATATATGTGTAGAAAGCCGTCATTTTTCAGTGAACAAGGTATAAATATGTATATGTGGGGTAAGTTGCCGTATTGTGTCCTAAGTAGGATAGTTGACCGTATTTGTAAATTGTAAAAAGATGCGAGTAAAAATTAATTAAAAATAAAAAAAGAAATTGCATTTTCTCGGTATACACACAAACCTTTATTTTATACCATGCAATAGAAACTACAGTGGCCAACCAAGTCAATGCGACATACACGCACAGCGCATGATGGGAAGGTTGCATGTAGTACAGTCGAGTACACAACGGCTTTCCTGTATTCAGATTGGATATATTTACTATGGCATGGTATAAACAATTATGTACAAGTACGTATGTAATCGTGACAGATCAAATTATACAGTCTACCAACTTTCATTTCAAAGCACTTGTCATGAGAGCAATAATTACTAACCCTGACAAATTGGACAGTATTATGTTACAGACACTCTTAATGTCAGGTGACCTTTTAGCTAACGCACTCTCTCGGATTAGTGTCACTCCTTCCTTTAGTTGATCTGTCCGTAATAACGCTGAGACCTAAAGAAGAATGAAACGACGGCAATGAGACACTAGTCTAAATCAATCCAGATTTAATTAAACTTCGTTAATTTAGCAATTAACAAACAAGCAAACAAACAAACCAAAAAGCGCACAGGAGACCGAACCATGGCTTTTTCCATTCGACTAAAAATTCCGGTTTTTTTTTCGGAAATTTCCTTCCCATTTGATTTTGCTCCAGGAACTTCCGGAATTTTCAGTTGAATGGTTCGCATTTTTAATAATCGATAATTCTCTGAGTTTCCCGAAACTCTCCCATGAAAGTTCCATATCAATTTTGCCCCCGTTTTGAAATTTCATAAATTTGTGCTTGAATGGAAAGCGCCTAGTAAACGACTTAACGAAAACCCATTACGAAAGATGCATGTAATACATGCATGGCAAAACCAAACGATGAAAAGAGAGGCTATTCAAGGCTATTCAAATTGTTTTCCTTACTTAGTTCTGTTAGTGACACATCTTATTCTTTAAGCAACTAATTAACCCAAGAAAGGGGCGTGAAATTATTTTTAAATATTCTAACCTCCTCTGTATGTTTTACTTCATTGATGAACTTGGTTGTGAGTTTCAGTATTTCTCGAACATGCTTCACCTTCATCTCTGAATCAGATTCAGCACCCTTCGTCATCAACTTCAAAGAAAAATAGCGTCAAAAATACGTTGATTACGGTAAATTCATACCGAAGCTTTTGAAGACAAAAAAACAAACCATGTTTATTGACCCCACCTCTGTTAACACACATCCCTGCTCTACAGAATCTTCCCTGAAACACTCTTTGAACGTGAATATAACCGTATCTTTTATGTTCTAAAAGAAGTCTGGCACTAAACCTAGTCGCGCAGACAGGCAGTGATTTTATTCAAATGTCTGACGCCCACAGGATTCGTACCCATTTTTGTGTGAAGAATTCAAGACGTTTTCCATACTTTTTCCACACAATTAATTCGTTTTTCCAAACACAAGATAAACAGCCAAATTACACTCCCAGAACGCGGGAACTACCGTGATGCAATTGGCAACGCACGATAACAATGATACAATGCGGATTCACGAAAGAAATGTCTGGGTGGTAGGTTTATCCTAAGTTCTCAACATTCTGCGTTTGAACATTCTGGCTGAACAAAATTTACAGTAAATGATTGGCTGACAAAATTTTCATTTAGCAATTTGAAATCCACTTTTATTCATGAAGGTTGGAGAAAACGTTCGCATATTTTTTTTAACCCTGGCAGCATCAAGAAATCAGGACTACATATTTAGGACTACCCATACTCCTTCAACAGGATGCCAGTTTATCGCCGGTTACAATAATACAGTTTCAAAGGCTACCAAGCTAATTCAAACAGGGCTACAATCAATTCTAATTTATCATGTGTTATTATAGGCTCGATTTCCAAGTGTTCTTACCGAGTTCAACGTTGCTTGTAAAGGAGACGCAATAACCTTGATGTGTGTCGAATGATCAGGAGTCTATTTAAAAAGGAAGAAAGTAAGCAAGTTATTCCAGTACCCTGAGTGAACCACTTTGTTGAATTTCCTTTGTACTCACTTTTTGTGACATCAGCTGCATCAACATCAAACATGCCTGGCTCTGAAATGGAAAATGAAGATAACAGCGATACAAAAAAGAAGTGCACAAATTCTAAGCGGAACGATTGTTAACACGAATTCTCTGCAATTTACCTTTCTGAAGCTATTTACTGCAGTCTCCAGGTAATTCACCAAGTGTGGGGCTAAATACCAGCCAAGATGCTGAAATTAACAAGCAAACAGAAACAAGTTGACAAAACAATTCGACTTTCATTCAATAGACTAACAACAGGCTGACTTCAATGCAACTCTAATAGGCAAAATTCTAACAGTTAGCAGTGAATACATTTCGGAAATGTGTATTGCTAATTGCTTCAGTTTGACTAATTGCGTTGTTAGCAACTTTAAACCAGCAATAGTAAGAATAACATTTGGAAAAATGACCGTTGTTTTCAGTAAATCCTTAGAGATTTCATAAAGAGTTTTCGATTCTTATTGAACAATCAGCACATATTAATGTTTGCGTGACCTTGTTTGCGTTCTCCCAGAGAAGTTGGAGAGGTGGCGAGTGAGAGGCAAAGGAGTGTCTTCAGAGAGCGTAATAAAGCCCATTACAAAGTTTCATGAGAAAATAGGGGTTTACCTCAGTGTAAGAACCTGTGAAGTTTTTCTTTGTTTTATAGCTTTGGTTAAGGTTAGGGTTTATTATGTTACAGGGCCGGGTTGTTCGAAAGCCGGTCAAAGCTAACCCAGGATTAAAAGTTAACCCAAATATTAATTTTTCTTGTATAGAAATGCTTTTTCCTCCTCACGTTTTGTGTAGTTTGAGCTTGGTCAAGCTCAAAACTGAAGGACAAACATTATAAACAGAAAACCTCGCCGAAAAGTTACAAAACTGAAATCAAAATTCTTGTTAATCCTGGGTTAGCTTAATTGAGTTTTGAATAACCGGGCCCAGGTCTTTACACCAAGGGTGAGCCGAAAATAGAGCGACTGTCTCTTAATTTCAAATAGTTGTTACTTGTATTTTGCGCCTTCCCTGCAGGGAGGCCTATGGACTGTCGTTGCGGCAATAACTTTGATAGCGCTTGAGTGTATCTGTCTATCCATTATTGCCATACTTATTTATTCATTTCCTTGAAAATCAATTTGAGTTCAACGTGCACCTCTTGCAACTCACCGGAAATCGACCGATTAGTTCAGTGAAGAGCACTGGGTGAAGATGTGTGCTCCTGGAATAGCAACAAGACAGTAAGTCGTTTATCAGGTACGAGAAATATGTTTTTCACCTAAATGTTTGAGACACCAAAGCCATTTTGAAACAACGTTAGCAATGCTCGCGCAGATATTTTTTTCATCAGTTTTCATCAGTTCTCATCAGCTCGAGAGTTCTTCCTCTAGAAAGGACTGAGCCCTGGCAGTTTTCGTATCGAAGTTGCTAAGCAACTGATCATGCCATGATAGCGAGGCAGCTTTCGGACTGCTCTCGAGTGCTCGCGCTGTTCTTTGACTGCCCGGCACTGTTGATAAAAATTGGGTATTTCAAATTTACGTAAGGTGTTTCGAAATGGCTACGGTGTCTCAAAAATCTAAGAGAACTAGGGTTACGCTTCTAGGAGCTACTTCTAGTTATGGTGGTTATGAAGAATCAAGCAGAGAAGCCACGAGAAATGTGGCAAATTACGAACACACCACATTATAGTTACTGAACGATCAGGAAACAAGGGCCAGTTTCAGCAAATCTTCGTGATTGCTATCAACAAATCCAAATCATGCAAAAATTTGGGCAGGTCTGCCCCAGTGGCAGAGTCATGTTCCTAAACAGCATCTCAGAGCATAACTGCTGTAGTTAACTCCCTAGAAAAAAGTGTTCGTTCTTTAGATAGTAATGGATTTATACTTCTCACCTCTTTAACATGAAATCCTCAAGCGCCTCCTTGAACGCCGCTGATACTCTTTTAGCATTCAGCAGGGACACCTACAAAAATGCACCAAAATACAGGAAATCTTAAGTGTTGTCTCACGAGTGATTGGAGATTTAAGCCCAACACAACCAAACGCCACTGGAGTAAAAGGGAAGTATTAATTGTTTTTCTTTTTCAAAGTCCTGCACTCTTTACTCTTTAGGTTGGTCTTTGATCGCCGAGACTATAGAAAACTAAAGACAAACAGCATCGCAATTCAATGGGTAAATCATAGACTAACCTTCCACTACAATGGCCACGCTAGTGAGGGGCATAAAAGATCCCATTACAAACTGAAGGAACTAAAATTGACAGGCGATACTAGAAATTCATTTTACGTGTTCACTCTACTTTTTTAGCTTTACATATGTGACCTTTTAAGCTTGTGTTGGAGTGCCAGACCAAGAAAAGTGATTATTCCTCAAACTAAAACAAGAACATATGTCTCAACAAGGTATACAAAAGCAAGAAACATTACATAAGGGACTGATCAGTGTCTAGTAGAATGGTCCTTTTAGGTAATCATTTTACTCCACTTACTTTCGGGGTTTCCTCGCCTTCCTGTACTTTTCCTTTTCTTTTTCCAGTTAATTGTTGAGCCTGTGAACCTCTTAGCACACGTACCTAAAAAAGCAATTTACATTTCACAGTATTATATCGAAAAACGGCGGAACTTTCAACGTCATTATCAGTCCTTCTCGCGCCTTGGGACCCATAAGGCATTACCGAACTAATTACAAGGAAAAAAATGTCTTTACCAAAAATCCCACCTACAGCACTACAAATACATTGCACGACCTTAGGAAGGTAGAGGTCTTCTAAAGTATAGACTACAAATCACAAAGCAGAAGTCATAATCTTTGTATGCTTCACACCAACGGCCGCGCTTCATTACGAATTGACAATAAAAATGTGTACAGAGAGTTAGGTTATTTAAGAGTTTGTTGGCATCAGACATCCCTTCAGAAAGAAAAGGCCTTATTTGTAGCATTTCACGTAAGGGTTGGTTGTAAGTTGCATCATGTCAAAAAAGAAACGGACGAAAAACAAATGCATCAGTTAAATTATGCCTCAGTGGTCATTATTACAACGTTGGTGTTACTTTCTCCCACCCCACCCCCTCACCCCAGACCTTGACTGTATAATCTATAGGTTATCTTACCAAATATAGGCAGCCTCGGGTGACTAGCGACACAATCACAATAGAGGGAGCTGTGGAAAACATTCAAACAAACTTGTAAGTCAAGAGACCAGCAAAAAGAAGAGTACGTCATAGACAGTCTGCCAACTGGGGGACACTTCCGTCAACAGTACCAGCAACAATAATTAAACAACAAATAAACACAAGCGAGTTAATGATTATGGAGTATAATAAATCAATGCAGATTGCAGCTATCTTACCAGTCATGGCTTTCCGGATCAAATGATCGATTTTTCCATGAACGTCTTTGGCCTTGATAAGAGTGGTCGGGGGAAGCTGCAAAAATGATCAATTAGAAGAATATAAACTTGAAAAGGACGCAGTATATTCTCAAAGAAGTGTTGAATAATTAGTTTATTGCTCTGCGGATAAACTTAACAACACCATTGTAAGGAATTTCTTACAAAACAGGGAAAGTGCGAGAGTCCATCCTTCCTAGCACTAACACCGAAAATGTCCGCAAATGAACTATAACCAGAGAGCAAACGAAACATGTTCCCATTTTTAGTACAAAAATCGTAATCACGCAGTAGGTTGTCCCAGGATTGTAAAACTGTTTATGTGCCTGCAATCATAGTTAGTAGAGGAGACTTCTAACTATGCTGCAATATATTGACTAATACAGTGATTTCACAAGTTTCCATTTTTAGTGCAACAATTGCAGCCACGTAAAACGTTGACCTAGAAATGTAGAACGATATATATGCGCCTGTAATATTGACTAATGCAGTGATTTCACGAGCTTTAAGTACTGGTCAGCAGGATTTCAACAAAAACTTTACGGAACATCGACCGACCCCTCCATTGGATACATTTGCATGATCTGACTACCCACTAGTACCCGTAACTTGTCATCACAATTCACGAGTTAAAAAGTACCAACGGGACTTCTTCGGTGATGACCGACGGCACAAACAGAGAACACTACAGGACTAGCGGATAACGTTCAGATGTACTTAGCATTCTAACAACTACAACCAAGCTATGTATACGTCGGCAGTAGGAATAATTGCTTATTGTATTTGTTCCGCAGAAAGCCTTGTTGTAAATTAGCAATTCCCTGGGGTCCCCCTCCTAGTAGGAGTTTTGCACACATGCGCAGTAAGACCTGTTGTTCGACCACCAGGTTGCGAGTTGTCGGCCATGTTGAAAAGTGTACACGTTTATCTCCTCGGAAATTAAAATGTTGTATGTTCTAAAGACTGAACCTTTTTGCTGACCTTCGAACCTGGGACATGCGGAACAGTAGTTCTCAATCGCCCCTTGTTCTGAAAGGTTCATTAATGAGGGGTAACCATCAACAACAGTACAATAACAGAGAATTTTGACAAGGATGGAGACACGAAAAACAAAGAGTTCTTCTGAGTGTTATCAACTTTAACTTTAAGATGATGTCATGAATCAGAAATCTTGGCAATTAAGACATAGACTGAAAAAAAATGACAAAAATTTTAAGATTAGAAGATGGCGTCGCTAGTTCACGTTTGCGCTTTGACCAGGAAACTGTAAAAGGTGAGGTTCCCTTCGCTTGCAGTACCGCTGACAAAGTTGAAGTGATCAGACGGACGCATGTCGCCTTCTGTTTACTTCGTCCTCGGGGTGTTATTCGCAGTTCCATTCCAACCGCAGAGTTGCCGGAACGTCGAAAGAATGTAACATCTTATTTCTCGTATTTTCCAACAGTAAATAAAAGGGTTTAGCGAGGAATTCAAAAATACAACCGTTAACGTGATTTCAAGTGTAAGACGATTTTCTTGTGTCTCACCGTAGAAATATATTATTGCAAAGCAAACACCAAAAAGGACGTGACTCGCGAAGGCAGCGATTACAACATACAGAATGACAAACACAGATTTTCGGCACTTCACTATGTCAATCCGTGGCAGTCCGTGAATTCGTGACGCTATATTATTCTGGTCTTGAATCTGCTGCAGGTGTCGGCGTAGAACGGCAAAAATTCGGCACTGGATTGTCGGAATAGCAATGAGGCTGGACAACGCGAGAACGAATCCGCCGAAGCTAGCAGTGATTCGAAACCACGGCTTTTGAGCATTCCAGAAAGACATAACGGTGAAGGTAATGGGAGCCACCCACACCGATAGACACGCCACGATGTAGCGACGGATGAGAAGTAACAAGGGCGTCAGATCGAAGGTGTAGCGCCAACGCAAGATATCGCTCGATGCTTGCAGCAGCCACGGTCATCACTGACATCACGGAGAGCAAAGAGCTTCACCGCTTCTTAACGAGGAACATCACGTCATAGATGTTAAGGTCTTTAACTAGTACACTAGCAAGGCAAGTCACATAACAAGGTTGGAGAAGTAATCCCACAGACAAGTCTGTTACTGCTAAGAAAAATAACATCACTGAAGATGGCTCGTGAAGTGATGGAGTCTTCCAAATGGCCGTCATGACAACGGTGTTGGTAACTGTGGCGATGACGCTGGTAATCACATTTATTGCACAAAGAACGATGAAAGCATTGTTGATATGCGTAGGGTATCAAGGAACGCCGGTCGGTCGCGACAGAAAGGCCTCAGTGGTATTTACAACGCAAGCGTTAATTGAAACTAACTGGTCCATCATAGCTAACCTTAAATGGGACGATCTGATGATGCACATAAACAAATCAAAATGTGATGTTTCGAATAAACAGGGACAATATGAAATTGAAGCCTAAATGGAATGGACCAACGCGGCTTTTAATTTCCTTACGTATACCATCAAATGAAAGAGATGCCCTATCAATTAGCACTGAAATTGCCTTCTTTCTTGCGCATATGTGTTAGAAGTCTCGAAATACATCTGCCTCTAGTGATGTTGATATTACAACGAAAAATAACACGTTACCTACTCTTGGAATTGAAGTTTAAATTACTTTGAAACTTAACGTGCCAATGGCAATGGATAAACAGCTAGCTCTTGTAATAAGTTTTGATTGGTTTCAATGTGGAGGCCCCATTGGGGGGGGGGGGGGCAAGGGGGGGATCTGAGTATCACACATCCCGTATCCCGTTAATTCCAGTTGCAAAAATTAACGATTTTTGCACTCAACATCCTGTTTTATCTGATCTTCGCATCCCATATCCCATTAATTTTTTTCTCAAATATCCTTTATACCCTTCATTTTCTACCCAAATATCCGGTATCTCGAAAATGCCTCATCGAGGACCTTAATGAGGCATATGAGAGTATAAATAAAGAGACGTGTAAGTAGTATTCTCCCAGGTCGATAATAAAATCACACGTCTGTTGGGTTCGTGGTGTGTGGTATTTTCCCGTAGATTTGAAAATCCTGTAATTACGTATCTGTGCTCATCTTCCCAAGCATCTATTAAAAAGGCTTTTTAAAAAAAACAGCAGATTAAAAAGCAGACCAGAAAGGAGTCCTTAGCTCCTACCAGAAGAAATGATTGGAAAACAAAATCCTACAATGGTCTCTAAAATCAGTTTAATATCACAATATAAGTATTAGTAAGTAGCAAAGGATTCAATAGGACCTGATCCCACGCGCCTAGAGCTGCGTAATAACAAATAATTCATAAGAAAACAGGCAGCTCTATAGCTGTTGTTTTCTACAGTAATTTTTTAATCGTTCTTGGAATCAATCTTAGATTTGACCTTTCTTTAATTTGAGGAGGAGTAAAAATTACGAAAATCCATGGGAGGAGCGACAGGAGTAGACTTGAAAGTGAAAAAAAGAAAAAAAAATCATTCATGCTGCTTCCTGCAAACATTCGTTTCACACCACAGTTTAGCTAGTACAGAAATCCATTTTTCGCGAAAATATGCTCGGATATTTGTCCGCGGACAATATCTGTTCCGAGGAGCGAACAGTTTTCCGAAAGCGTAGCTCGAGGAAAACTGTAAGCTTTGAGGAACAGATAATGTCCAAGGACAAATAACCGAGCGTATTAATTATTTTCGCGTCAATCTGGGGCTCTTGTGTTTATTATCCTTCAAATGTTTTTCGCAACACGAACATTTTTGAAAATCGGGGAATATCACTCGGATATTCCCCAGTTTTAGCTGGGGCATATTCAGTCACGTGTCGCGTTTAGACCAATCGCGCACCAACGAAAATATTTTATGGACTATAACTTTGATTCCCAGAGTTCGAGTCATTCGTAATCTTTATGAATCGTCGATGCATTTCATAACGCGTAGTACATTTCGACGCAGTTCCAGCCATTCCAGGAGACACTTGTATCAAAATGTTGCCGGAAGTCATGCCTCCACCCCGTTTCCAAAATGCCTTACGATCATACGGTTCCAATGCCAACCAAACTGTCGTCTGTGTTGGCAGGTGTAAATACGGCCTGATTGTCTGTGTAATTTGTGATTGGTCAGAGTGGTTACTTTGGCTTTAGTCGTGACGCCGACAGCCTGCCGACCGTCACCCGACTGAGTGTCGCTAGTGTGTCGGCCGACGCGTTGGTGGGTTGGGATTCTTTACTTTTACCCTAAAATGTATAAGTAGGTACTCACCTCTTTCGATGAACACAACTTGCTTTGAAAGAGTCCTTGGGCCCGTTCACCCAGCGTGTGAAAGCCCTTGGAATTTAGAGAAGACCACGCCACATCCAGTAATGGATCAATCAGTTCCTGCATGACAAAATAGATATTTATTACGTTAACTACGCCTTGTCAGCTTAGATTAAACACTTGGACGTCTAAAACAGCTCTTGCACAGTAAAACTCTTACAAAACGAACCTTTCGGGATAAAATAAAGCTCCTGTTATATCGAACTCCCTAATAAATCAAATACATCGTTATCAAAAACGTTCCAAGAAATTGATTTTCTCGGTTAGATTCTAGCCTTGAATTCCGCCACCCTCCCGTTCCCTTGCCAAGGGGAGGAGTAGCTGGCAATCGTGCCAAGTATGATTCGGACAAATTTAGTTCGTAAATGTTATTTAGTAGCAATGAGGACGATCATTAAATATAGTGAAATATAATTTAACATAGTCAATTACGAGGAGCAAGAGGCGTTTTGTTGGCGTCCGTTGGCGTTCGTTGACGTTTGTAAGTGTTTCACAGCGTTTTGTTGGCATCAGTGGTTAGCGTTTAAAGCGTCTTTCAGCAGTTGGGGCCTCCAGGCGTGTCTTGATATGTATTCCTGTGGTTAGTGGCCCTTCTGGGGTCCATTCTACCATTCATCGGTAGGCGGTTTCAATTGCTGGGTTCCCATTCTTAGCAACAGTCAGCGGTCTTGTTTGTGTGTTCTTTTCGTTTTTCCCCTCCCAACTCTCCCTTGGGGATTTTGTTTAGTTTTACTTTTCGACTGAAATTCGTGTTTCAGTGTGACTGGTGTCCGGGTTCTCTGCAGTTGAGGGGGGGCTCGTGGCTGAGGTGCAGGCAATGCCTGCACTGTGGGCGGTCTTGTATCATGGGTCTGGGGTTACAGGACGTGTGTTGTGTATGTTTTCCCTGGGCACCTTACCTCCACTTGAGACAAATGTTGTTAACCACGCACATATTTTTTTTACCAGTGCTTTTGCCTATTGCTGCTACGCAGACCAAAAGCTATTTATAAAGATTTCTTCACAGTGTTAAAAAGCAAGGCCCAGCACAAACGTAATCAAATTACGATGACTGGAAACTAAGAAATATTTTGATTACAATTTTATTACGTATTTAATCATACACTCACCAGAACGAGGGGGTTTGAAGCTTGTTTCTTGATGAATATCTCTATTATATCTAGTACCCTAGGGGAAGAACAAAACAATGCTATTTACCATCACACGATCAGGGCTCGAAAGTCCCCTTAGTGACTCAGACTGCCATTCAATACTTTTAATCTTAGTTCTGAGAATTTGGTGTGGGATCGAGATAATATCCGTTGATGAATCTCTTTATTCTCAGAAACCGTCTATTTGGCAAAGTATCTCCAATGTACAAAATACATGCATGCGCAGATTTGTTCTTTTTACTAATCACTTCGCTAAGGCAACTTAAAGGATGCCAAAATTTAACCCCCACGCCCGCACCTTGCTTGTTCAATGCTGTTTATTAGGGCTGGTAAAATCTCTCGACAACATCCTTTTAAAGTGAACAACCATTGATAATATGAATACTTTCAAAGTTCAAACACGTAACAATATAATAAGGGCATGAACAGTTTTGTGCAGGATTACAACTAAGCTGCTTTGGCTGCCTGCTTCTGTTTGATTCACTAGAACAAATATCTAAACAAGATATGGTGCATGTAAGTTAAAATAAACTGTGGAACTCTAACTCCAAATGTGTACCTTAACTTAAATTGAAGAACGATCTTCATGCCATCTGTTGAAGATAGAGTAGGAAGGAAAATACAAGAGATTAAGGGTGCGTTCCTTTGGGGTGATCTGGATCAGGATCAGTGATCCAAGATCACTCGGATCATGGTGCATCAAAGGAACCGATGAATCCGTGACC